TCGTCGTTGTCCTCGTTTCACTCGTCGTTGTGCGACGCTGTCGCTGCTGCCGCTGATGGATGGATTGCTGCTGTCGCCGTCCGTTGCGTTCCTGTTAATCCATAGTTCGACCGGTACTCGCCATCATCTGGCTGCTGCTGCACTGTACGTCATCCAGCCGCGGAGGTTCGGCTCGGCTCGCATTACGGCCCTCATTGCTTGCACCAATATTGTTATTATTGCCTTTATCGTCGTCATCATCCTCATCACCAAGATCTTCGCCGTCATCGTCATCACTACGTCATCAGTCCGGTGATTGTCGTTGTCATCGATGTTATCACCAACAATAATCTCAGCTTTGACGTTATCATTGTCACGATACGTCAAAATCCGATTGACTTTTGCGGTAGTTTGCATTGTGCTCGACCACTGAGCTGCTGTCGTTTTCGTTGTCATCATCGTCTTCACATCTGCGTCATCAGCACCTGGCTGGCTGGCGTTTGCGGTCGTTGTGGCGTCATTAATGTTAGGTTGTTGTCATTACCGTCATTGTCATCGTCATCGTCGTCACTTAATTCGATTGGCATTATTATCATCTTTACTGCTTCCGTTGTTACAAACAACAACAACAACAACAACAACAGAACTGGGAAGCATTGGCTCGTTAAATGCTAATTGCAGGAGGAGCTGCTGCTGCTGCTGCGGCTGTTGTTGTTGTAGCGATTTCTGCCTGGATGGGTTGACCTATTGACCGATGTCAGTGAGCGGCCTGTTTTTCATTAGTCCCACGGCTCTTTGCTCTGCTCAGCTCGGCTCGGCTCAGCTGTTTGTCCACTTGTCGCCCATTCATCGCTCTTTCACTTCCTGCTGTTGTTTGCTCTTCCCGGCCATTGCCAGCAGCGTTGTTGATGATGTCATCCGAATAAATCATCGTGACTTATCCGTGGATCGGATCCAGTAGTAGTAAGTCATTGTAAAAAGCGCATATGCGCTTATCCTCGCTCTTATCCACTTCTCATTCAATTTATCCCGCCTTTATCCACTTTTTTGCACAGCAAAACCGTTTTCCGGCCTATGCAGTTTATGCCCTTTTGAAAATTTGTCTAAGCCACGCAATACGCAACTAACTTTTGGGTTCGAACTTGAGCTGCGGGAATCGCAGTACCGGGTTTTTTTGTCTAGGTAAACTTCCAAAACTGCTACCTCCCCCTCATCATCTGGGTTCAAGTTGAGCACGAGAAATTCATAAGAGCACCCACCCTCCATTCCCCCTTCCGAGCGGGGTAACAGCTTTTTCGTGGTCAGTAACCCCAGCCCCTCCCTCCCCCCCCTTTTCGTTAGGACTTGGGAGCTCAAATCACTACCTCCTTCGCTTCCTCCTCCCCCTCTCCCGTTCCCCCGCCTCTTCCCTCCTCCCCTTCCCCAGCCCTTTTCCCTCACTTCCCAGTCATCGCAACTCACCTCACATCCCAGCCGAACCGAGCCAAGTAGAGTCAAACCGAGTTTCAGTGGCTGACCTTTTGTGCATCTCCTTTCTGCTTTGGGCAACTACTAGAAGTCGCCTTTGTTCGACCAGGTCGGGAGTCAAGTTACGATGACTGGGAGATGGTTGTAGAGAGGCGGGAGCGAAGAGGGAATTGGGAGTCCGAGGTGGCTTAGGTCTCGGAGGTCGTGGCGAGAAAGGGGGAAGGAAGAAAAGAGTGAAAGGGGTTAGGGAAGAAATTAGGCGGAAGTAATTAAAAATAGCGGGGCTTATGGAAACGGGGGTATCTCTATGATTCTTCATGACCGGCATAAAAGTTAGAAGTTAGCAGACTTGAACGTGACACCTAAGAACTTACCTAGAGGAAAAATACGGTACTACGATTACCGTTACCCGAACATAAACCTATGTTGGAACGGCCGAGCCGAGCCGAACCGAGTTTTGATAGTTGGGGTCTTGTGACAACACCTCATGCATATCTCATGGTATTAAAATAATCTGAAACAGGTGGTAATTCGTCGCAGTCTGTCTCTTTAGCTGCACAGTGTTTCTTCCAGATGCTTTTAGCTAGAAGAACTGAGACTGGCTGCTACGATTGTGAGAAAACATTCCCTTAAAGCTTTTCTGGTTCCCAGGTTAGCAACTTCCCCACAAAAAACTTTCACGACAACTTTTGCAGTTTGCTTTGACCAGTGCACTGCATCGCTTTGTGGTGGTCAGCCTGCTGGTGATCCAGTGGGCAGACCAGAGTGCCTCTTAGTCTTTTGAGTGGATGTTCGCCCGGGTTATTTTGTTGTTAGCTCTCAGAGGCTTTGTTGTTGTATTTAGGAAGCAATTTCCGTTTCATGTAACCATCTGCCAGGAAGTGCCCCAATAAATCTCTTGTGGTGCTCTTTACAAAAGTACTTGTTGCTTCCCTTCCCAATTTGCTTCAGTGTATGTTACACAACAGCCGGTGTTTTATATCTCTTCTGATTTGTTATTGTTACTTAATGAACACCTCCATCCATCTCTCTGTGCAAATATTAGGTTCATACGATCAGGATTTCCTGGGCAAATTCCCATTTTAGGACGGGGCAGAGGGGTGGAGGCAGCGAAATATGTAAAGAGTTCATGCTGACCTCTTCCCACTATAGGGCATTCATTCAGCTGTGCATACAATAGGCAGTACAGATATTTACTTGCAACTCAGAGCTTGAAAAACGTGCGATTCCTTTTTTTTGGAGGAGGAGGAGGGGGGGGGG